CTCTCAACATTTCTGCTTTTAGCAGTGCCCGCTCTGTTCCTCCAGCTTCCATCTGCCTGTCCGCTCCAGAGCAGGCCAACCGTAATGGCGCCACACGGCTGCTCTATCGGAAGAGCCCCTCGACAGGTCACCACAGGGTCTGCCACCCGGGTGCCGGTCGCCGGTCCCACCGCGGTCTCCCCGCCTGGAGAACAGCCATGCTCGCCTTCCTGAAGAGGGGGCCATGGAACGGCTGGAGAAGCCTGGAAGGGCGACGGCACAGCAGACACTCACACGGGCAAGGCCAGGTCACCTCTCAAAACTGGGATACTACTGACCTATCACTCGTCTTACACAGGGACAGACAGGCACTCACAAATGGTATTTCGTGACTTCTTAGGACACCGTACTCGTGTTCCTATTTCTGTCTCGTCACAAAGATTTCAAGAAAGAAAAGGCAAATTTAAGTATGTAGCCAGGCATCTCAAACTGGCTGTCACCTTTTTAGAAGAAAAACAGGGACGTGAGTGGTAGAAGTAGCAAGCAGGCAAATGTACAGATGAAGTCAGGAAGTAGTTCTGGAACCTACTCCGGATGCAGAAACGAGGGTGGGCATGGGCTCAGGACAAAGCAGAAGGAAGACCACGTTTACCTGGAAGAAAGCTGACACCTGCCGAGGAGGGCTAACACTGTATGAAATACGTGCACTCTTGCCTTTTTCTGGTCCACAAGGAGGAAGAACTGATTAGAAAATAGAAACGTCAAGGAACCTGGGTTGAAAAATAACACCCTTGACATTAGAATTCCGGAAAATGAAGAAAGAAACGACTTGACACAATCGTTTACACCCAGACATTAGTAAGGCAGGTCTCAAGAACTCAGGAAAAAGAGAGAGCATGAGTCTATAGCACGAGCTTCTGAAACACCAAGCAAGCACCCTGGGAGGCTCTCAAAACCAGGCTAGCTGGTGCATCACTAGGATTTTACTGGATTATGCGGAAGAGAAAACTCCAACACGAGTCTTCTCCCGAGTAGAAGATGTGTGGAGGTAGGCAGTCCAGGGCTGTGATGGCTCGCTGTGGCACTGGACAGCTGGCTCCTTCTGTCGAGGTGTCCCTATTACCGCCTACACACGGTTCCCTCCTCATGATCCAAGACAGATGCTGCGCTCGGGCCATAGACTCCACATTCCTGACGGCAGGAAGAAGGGCACGCACTCTCCCTCGAAGGATACTTTCCAGAGGATGCACATGGCATTCCCACTGCCAGCCGCAGGAAAAGCTTGGGAATGCACGTATTTTCTAGGCAGCCACAGGCCCAGTTCAACGCTAGAAATTCTATTATCGGGAAAGAGTAGGCTTAACGTAAGAATACAGCTAAGCCCTTTGAGGAGTTAAATTTGACAAAAGTACAACTCCATTACTCGTACTTCGCCACTGTTCTCTCTGCCACGTGGAATGAATCTCAGATTGAAAATGGCATTTACGACGGTAACCATAAGCCGCAGACCAGGGGGAGTCCGGCACTCCACACGGATTTAATTCCGCTAATGCACGCTGGGTTTCCACGCCCAGCTTTAGTTCCTTCACTTCCCTTCATAAAATCTTCCCTTTCATTACAGAGCCCTGCTCCCGGGGCACAAAAGAATAGTTCCTCGTTTCTTCTGAGTGCACCAGGCATACGTCTTCTGAAAGGTTCTGCGAATTGCTCGTGGCGAGTCATGTTCTCAGTCTCTGAGGCTGTTCTTTCCCCGACCATTATTTGGCAGCTTTTTACAGGCACCCACTTCTTTACCCTGTTCGTTTGTCCTTGGACGGAAGTGATACAAGCCCAGGCCGAGAGCCTGCAGCAGAGGGCGCCACAGAAATCTCCCTTGCGCCCCTCGGCCAGGCCCTCGGCGTGAGTGGCCCTCCTGGGATCCGGGGAGCAGACACGGGGCTCCGAGGGCGCTGCCAGCAGGCAGGCCTGGCTTGGCCGCCCGGGGTGGACCCTTGACTGGCCCTCGCCCGTCCTCTAACCAAACGTGAGAACTGGCGTGCTGTGCGGTCGTGAAGCTGTGACACGTGAATGGCCGGTCCCACACTCCCTAGGCCGCTGCCCCTCCTCACGACGCAGCAGAAAATCCCACGACGCGGCAGAAAATCCCACGTCTCTGCCCGCCTCCTTGGCTCGCAGTCTTGGGTTTCCCGGTGGAGGCAGAAAGGAAAGAATGAAGAGGCAGCAGGGAGTGGGGGGCCGGAGGCAGGGCTCCAGCCGCTCCCAGATGCGGTGGTGCCCCTCTGAGCAGAGCCGTTGGTCCGTCTGTCAGCGCAGCTCCAGCACCCCAGGCTCAGCAGAGCCTCCTCCCGGCCCAGTGTGGCCCTGTGACCTTGGGCTTCGGAGGCTGGAGTGCGCACGAGCTGTCCCCGGGGCAGGACAGGCCTCTCCGTTAGGCCCCGCGGTACGAGGCATACAGAGAATCCCTGACTCCTCTGTTCTCCGGCTTCTGACACACCCATCAGCCGAACTCCGGCCTCTGAACGGCTGTGGTCGGCTTTTATCTGTTACCTTCGTGGGCTTCTGGACAGGAGGCTGAGGAGGCAGTGAAATCAGGTGCGGACAAGACGCCGCCCACAGCCTCACAACTGGTCGACGCGCCTCAGCGCCTTCTGCCCGTCTACGCTGCCTGTCCAGCCAGCAGCCCGGATCTCCCACCTGCTCTAGACGCTCCCCTGCACAGACCGAGGCAGTGTCTCAACTGCCTAGTGGGGGAAGTCTGCGCCCTTGGCTCAGCACCCAAGGCCCTCGTGATGGGGCTCCTGTCTGCTGCTCCAGCCTCGGCCAGAGCCACGTCCCACACCCGCCCGACCGGGCAGCCATCGGGCACTGAGCAGAGAAGCCCTGTATACCTGCCTCTTCCTACACATGAGGCTCCCTCCAGCTGGAATGTTTAAGTTTAAATTCAAGTTAGTTAACAATTAAAAATTGTTTTTAAGTTTAAATTCAAGTTAGTACCGGTTTCAGGGCTAGGACCCAGCGACCCATCCCCTCTGTGTAACACCCAGAGCTCCTCCCAACAGGTGCCCTCCTTGATGCCCATCCCCCCCTCCCCCCTCCCCTCTAGCAACCCTGTTTGTTCTCTGTATTTAAGAGTCTCTTACGGTTTGTATACCTCTCTGTTTTTATCTTAGTTTTCCTTCCCTTGCCCTGTGTTCATGTTTTGTTTCTTAAATTCCACATGTGAGTGAAATCTGATACTTGTCTTTCTCTGACCGACTTATTTCACTTAGCATAATACATTCTAGTTAAATCCACGTTGTTGCAAATGGCAAGATTTCATTCTTTTTGATTGCTGAGTAGTATTCCAGAGTATGTGTGTGGGGGGGAGGGGTGTATATACACACACAAACACACACACACACACACACACACACACACACACACACACACACACATCTTCTTTATCCATTTATCAGCCGACGGACATTTGGGCTCTTTCATAATTTGGCTATTGTTGATAGTGCTGCTGTAAACATTGGGGTGCATGTGTCCCTTTGGATCAGCATTTTTGTATCCTTTGGATAAATACCTAGTAGTGCAATTGCTGGGTCGTACAGTGGTTCTATTTTCTGCCTTTCTTTCTTCTTCTCAAAACTCCTGCTCATCCTTCAGGACTCAACCCAAGTATCCTCTGTGAAGCTCTCCCTGACACAGGCCCTGTAGCACTCTGTATACAGCTCCTTGTGGGCGCTTATAAGCCTGTACTGAAATCACTCGCTCGCCCTGCAAACCAGAACGTTAGCTCGTCAGAGGCAAGGACCCCGTCTCATCTACCTATGTAGCTCTCACACCAAAGATAATGCCCAGAACTGAGAAGACTTGCAAAGCAGGGTTCCCCAACCGGTGGATTTAGAAATATCACAGGCACAGAATATTTGGCCTTCAGCAAAGCATCTGATAAGGAGTGTAAGGAGTTCCAAATTTCCCCAGTAGAGGGATACAGATGAATGCCAGGCGTTTAGACAAGTCGGCAACTGATGAAAAACCCTTCGCAGGCAGTGCTGATTAGGTCTCCCAAAAGCAGGAGGAAGGGCAGGAGCTCTGCCAGGGCTAAGGTCTTGTGAGCTGTGTATGTCAGCGGAGGGAGACAGCGCGAGTGGACAAGTTCATGAGGGACAGCCTGGAAAGTTCCTTGAAAGAATACTCCTCAGTGGGCAGGTTCCCTTAAAGGGATGATCTTAAGGGAGATAAACCAGGTAGGGCCAGACTCGAGATGAAACTGACTCGGGGAAATAAATCAGGTCCTGCTTGTGCCTCTAGAAAATTCACTAACTATGGCACAAGTTCCTTCCC